TTCTATTCTATTTTCTACTATACTCAACTCAACTCTACTCTGTATTCTATTCTATTCTACTCCACTCCACTCTATTCTGTATTCTATAGTTATTCTATTCTATTTTCTACTATACTCAACTCAACTCTACTCTGTATTCTATTCTATTCTACTCCACTCCACTCTATTCTGTATTCTATAGTTATTCTATTCTATTCTATTTTCTACTCAACACTACTCTGTATTCTATTCAACTCTACTCCGCTCCACTCAATTCTGTTTGAATGTTTATTTCATTTGTATGCTGCCCTTTTCCCCCGAAGGGGGAAACTAATATTCTATAGTTATTATATTCTATTCTATTTTCTATTCTACTCTACTCTGTATTCTGTATTCTATTCTACTCCACTCCAACTCTACTCTACTCTATTCTACGCTACTCTACTCTATTGTATTCTGTATTCTATATTTATTCTTATCTATTCTCTTCTCTTCTATCCTATTCCTACCCCTATCGCTATTGCTATTGCTATTGCTATTCCATGTCATCATTTGGCTGAAAAGGTGAGAATCTGGAGGTTGTTTTTCAATCCCCCACCCCTCATCTTCATCACCCCACAACCTTATTTACATCCAAAGGGGAGGACACCTCCCTGACGTTGCCACCTATACCCTCTAACCGCTCGTAGCGGAAGGGCACTCTGTCTCCTGGGCACAGATACTGGCTGGCCAATTTCTTTTGTGTGTGATGGCTTCCGGCCTGCTGCTGCTGCTGCTGCTGCTGCTGCACAGCCCCTCCTCCTCCTCCTCCTCTCTCCAAGCCCCGCAGAGAGCCTGCTTGGGAAAGAGATGCTGGAAAGCAGCAGTCGCTCCAGCCAGATTTCCATAGCTACGCAGGAGGCAGCATAAGGAACTGCCCTGAAAGGCAGGCAGGCGGGAGGGAGCCTCACAGCTGACCCCCTTTGCCAAGCAAAGGCGAACGAACGGTTATTCTGGGCCGCTCGGACAACCACGCCACTGCTTCGCCTCCCCCAGAAGATGCTGAACAGGCATTTCCAGGGCAGGTCCCAGGACCAGGGATGAGCTGAGATGCAGGGTGGGAGGCCCACAGCACCTTCCCTGGCTGGGCTGCTCTCCTGATCTCCCCCCCACTCATGTCCAAGAGCTGACGGGGAAGAAGAAAGCAGGGTCCCCGGGATCACCCCACAACCTTATTTACATCCTTCCGCTGCCAAGCATCATGATCCGCAAGAAAGCCTCTGCTGCCAGCCCGCCCGATGCCAGCCTCTTGCTCAGCGCTACCAAGGACTCCTCCGGGGGCCACTACGGAGAAGCCGGAGCCATTCGAAATGGGCCCTCGGCCGGTAGCTTCGTAAGTACATGGCTAGAGCCAATGTAGGGATAGGGTTGGGATCCAGCACTTTAAAAAAAAGCAGAGATCTTCTCTCCTGCTCAGGGACAGCTGTGGGATCTGGCCGTGATGGCGTATAAGCGGGCGAAAGCACTCGGCGCACGCTCGGCGTCAAACTGTAGCGAGCATGTCCTCAGCATGCGACCCCTGGGAAGTTCCCACAAGAGGACAGGGAGCAGGAGGAATGGACGTTAGAAGTAGTAAACTTAGCAGAGATGGCCAAAATTTCAGCATAGTTGAAGGACCATTCAGATGAGAAATACAAGTTGGAATGGAGAAGATGGATTGATTACATTCAAAATAAATATCGGACTAAGAAATTTCAATTGGCTTATGAATGAACAAAGAATGTTATAATTTACCTAAATTTAGTTTTAAAAAAAAGGGGAGTTAAAGTACAAGAGGGAGATAGGATGCTATAGTTAGTTAGCTTATGTTAGTGTATGATTGTTAAATGTTTATACCCTGTATTTTGCTCTGGGAAGTTGGGNATTTCCAGGTTGAATCTCTCCTAGATCAGTTTCCATCCATTATTATTCCTTGTCTGGTTTCCGGGTGCTTTGGGGAATATTTTGACCCCCTCCTCTCTGTGGCAGCCCCTCAAATATTGGGAACTCTGCTATCCTGTCTCCCCTGGTCCTTCTTTTCACTAGACTAGCCAGGCCCAGTTCCTGCAACCCTTCATCGTATGTTTTAGCCTCTTGGTTGCCCAACATCTCTTTAATAGTGTGGTTCTTAATTTTAGGTTGCCCCCCTCCTGGATTAGTTTCCATCCGTTGCTTCTTGTCCTGCCTTAGAGGTGCTTTGGAGAATAGCTTGAAATCCCCCTCCTCCTCTCTGTGGCAGCCCCTCAAATATTGGGATCCTGCTATCCTGCCTCCCCTGGTCCTTCTCTTCACTGGACCAGCCATGCCCAGTTCCTGCAACCGTTAGGCTCCTCCAGCCATACGCAGGGACGGGACCCCCACGTCCTTCCTATGCGGAAAAGCCAGGCAACCGGCGATGCCCCGGCGCAGGCGATCCGCTTTGCAGGAAGGTAACCTCGCCCCTCCGTCCTCCTCGCGGGACGGACGGCCTTAACAAAGAGGCAGCCTGGCATAAATATGAATCAGGCTCAGAATCACGCCCGGCTTTGCCCGGACAAAACCGGGGATCCCCGGGGGTGGGGCCACGCCGGTATGACGTCAGGCCAAAGGGGAAAAAAAGAGGACGGAAGAAGCCAGAGGCCGGTTGGGGCATGCGCGTTGGGAAGGGAAGCGATCCTAGCGCCTCCTCGCCGCTGGATCGGGCGCAGCGTGGGCCGGCCGGATCCCTCGCAGGGCGGGGATGATCGTCCGCCCGGGATCCGTGGTTGACCCGGACTGGCACAGCACGGAGGAAGGCAGAGCTTACTCGGGCGCCCTCTTGCGCCGGGCGCAGCGCCGATCCTTCGGTGAGGTCGCTGGGCTGAAGTCCCGGGAGATTCCGCGCTTCCCCGCCGCGCGGGCGGGGGTCCAGGGCAAAGGACCACCCCGATAGCCGGTATTCTCAAAGGGGATTCTCTCCCTGTGCAGGACTGATCGAGAGACCAGTGGTGGCTCCGCAGGCGGCTGCCGACGTAGCCGGTTACAAGGTCTTCGTATCCGGCAAGAGCGGCGTGGGAAAAACCGCTTTGGTGGCCAAGTTGGCCGGTCTGGAGGTGCCCCTGGTGCATCATGAGACCACAGGTGACCCCCCTGCTTCATCCTCCTCCTCCTCCTGCTGTCCCCAAGGCAAAGCCTTAAAACCAGGGCAGCTGACACTGACTAAAGGAGAAGCCAGGGCAGAGCTCCACAAACTGGATGGAGTGGTGAGGAGCCTTCCTTCTGCGGCAGCCCTGAGAAACTTTTCCTTTTTAAAAATTATTTTATTTTAGTACAAATAATCCGTGTTCCATTCAACAGTGTCTCGGGTACAAATGTTTGTGCAACAAGTTAAAATTTACAATCCTATTTATTATTTAATCAATTCTTACCTTAATGCCAACACATTAAATAACGGATACTTTATATCCTCTTCACTTAACTCTATTAACTATTTTCTATATTTTACTCATCTACTTTTATATCTATGAGTATATCTACTTTTTTACTCATCTACTTTTATATCAACTCATCTACTTTTGTATCTTTTATATCTATGAGTATATCTACTTTTTTACTCATCTACTTTTATATTAACTCATCTACTTTTGTATCTTTTATATCTATGAGTATATCTACTTTTTTACTCATCTACTTTTATATTAACTCATCTACTTTTGTATCTTTTATATCTATGAGTATATCTACTTT